ATCCACATCAAGCTACTGCAGGATGACCCTTTTAACACCAAGAGTAAACTCACTGCACAGCAAGTTGAAGCTCATTAAAACTGTCTACTCTGTGAGCATCCCATTAACCTCCCTGTTAAAAACACACAATCCCTCTTCTTTTCTTGCAGGCCTAATTAATGCCCAGGATCTGGAACAATGAAACACCCTAACCTTCCTAGATTTCCAATAAGTAAATGAAAAAAGAAAGGGGGGAGCCAGAAGGATACAGATGTATCACCTACATCTCACACCATATTGGTGGTTGACCCTTTCAAATAGGTAGGCTGTCTTATGAGGCTTACCGTGAGCTAAGGGAGGTTGCCTGGGCTTAATCAGCAATGTAATTAGGCTGTCATTTGGCTACATATTTCCAGGGGTTGACTTGATAGGCTTGTACATTCTATTTCTAAATTTGATTTGCAAACTGGAGATGATTGCTAGAGTATGCATACACTGTAAGTGTGTACAGATAGTCCTCGACATATGACCACAATTGAGCCCAAAATTTACGTTGCTAAGTAAGGCATTTGTTAAGTGAGTTTTGCCCCATTTTATGACCTTTCTTGCCACAGTTGTTGAGTGAATCATTGCAGTCGTTAAGTTAGTAACGTGGTTATTAAGTGAATCTGGCTTTCCCACTGACTTTGATTTGCTAATCATATGACTCCAAGACACTGCAACCGTCATAAATATGAACCAGTTGCCAAGCGTCCAAATTTTGATCACGTCACCAAGGGGATGCTGCAATGGTCGTGTGAAAAACTGTCATTGGTCACTTTTTTCAGTGCTGTTTTAACTTTGAACAGTCATTAAATGAACTGTTATAATTCGATGACTACCTGTATATCTATCTGTGCACTATATTACCCTGGCAAGCTTTAAAGCACCCTGCGTGACACTCTTTCTCTTCTACCCATAAATAGTTCTGTAGTCAGTGATGGCTTCTGTCTTAAAAGTTTAAGCAACTTGGCCTGGCATATGAGTACTAATTTACAGATGGCTAGGGAGGAAAGGTTTTGAAAGATTTATAGAAGAAAAATGCAAAAAATAGGCACACTAAACCCTCCACCCACATTTCAGCATGGCTGAATAACCAGAATTCACTGCCATTGAGCATTGATGTCTAGAAGGGCTGCTTCAGACTCTGCCCATTCTATAGAGAGGAATAGTCAAAAGAACATCTGCTACCATTCTGACTTGTACATAGTTGAGGTATTCAGGAATTCATTGGCTGTCACCACTGGCAACTATGACCACAGCCCTACTCTACAAATGTCTTTTTTTTTTGAAGGAAAGGTAGGAGAAGAACTCAGTGTCATTTCAAGTCCTTTCCAGGAAATCACATAAAGCCAAAAGCCTGGAAAATTTAAGATAACTTCCAAGAGAAAAGGTGCTGTTGAGATTTGTCAGAAATGTCAACTTTGAACCACTGTGCAAGGAGAATGAACAGTACCCAAGGGACTCTTACTTTGCTAACTACAGGTAGCAGACAGGGAAAGTGGGGGGGGAGGGTGATCTGTGCCCATTCTTCAGTCACTCTCAGTGATATAAAGAAACTGCATCCAAAATATGCCAGTAAGGTATCAGATAATCAACCATAATATTTATATCTCATTCAGGAAAAAAAATATTGCTGAAGAAAAAATAAGGAAAGTAAAGCTAGTAATAAGAATCTCATCAAAAATCAACTGCATACCGATGTTTGGTAACATTTGGGAAACAAGCTGTAGTATAGTAATATCCTGCAGTTTGATGTGTAGAAATACTGTAAAAAATAAGCTGTGAGTACTTTTGGAATGATAGTTAAGCAAAATTGGGAAAATCTTGTATGAATCACTAGTGAGTCCCCTTTTCTCATACTTAGCAAAAGATCTATGAAACAAATGGATCGTTAGAATGTTTAACTAATATCAAGTATTTTTCATGTGATCAATATAGGAATTATTGGCTTTTCTAATGGGCTTGCTTTCCTTTCCTTATGTTAAAACCCAACATATTCAGATTAGCTTTGTTGGGGAAATTTCAAGAATACATATCTAATCTTTGATTGACAAGTATTATTCAAAAATGGGGGGGGATGGGACAGACCAACACAACTTCAAAATTGGACAGTTCATTCCACCACAATTTTCTAGACAAAAACTATACCTGAAAATGGCTTATATCAAAATATGAAAATCAAGTGAGTGTAGAGATTAGATATTTCCCCCTCTGAACTAAACAAACATGCACACACTATTAGTTTCACTGTGCTTAGTGCTTTAGGTTTAACTGCTGACTAATCCCATCAAGCATAGTGGGTAATGATAAGGATGATCAACTTCCTTCTAAGTATCAATAAACACATATAAACACTGTGAAAGAATGAAGGGGAATGAGTGATTGTCCATAGGAGCCAGTAGTATACAGATATCCTCTTGCAAACTCAAAACAAATCATACCAAAGATTGTTGAAGTCCTTCTCTCATCAAATAATATTTCAGGATAATTGTAGTCCACAATCTGTTTTTTCTTGGCTACAATTCATTCTACAGATTTCTTTCTTTCTTTCTTTCTTTCTTTCTTTCTTTCTTTCTTTCTTTCTTTCTTTCTCTCTCTCTCTCTCTCTCTTTCTTTCTCTTTCTTTCTTGCTTGTTTGCTTGCTTTCTATCTTTCTTTGATTTCTCTCTCTCTCTCTCTCTCTCTCTCTCTCTTTCATTGTTTCATTCTTCCTTCCTTCTTTCTCTGCCTCCCTCACCAGTACGTTCAATTATTCTTTAAAGTCAAACTTATACAAGTGTGCAATTCTAGAGTAATATCTATCCATCCAGTGGTGTCATGATTGTTATACCACAAGAAGTGTTCCACCCACAAGTTCCTAATTTGAAAAGCCAGCTTCTTCTGAAGTGAGGCCATGGTATCTGCCTGCATCATATCAGATTGTTTGGCCATCGCTTACTACATTGAAATACCACAGTTATCCAAAGGTTGATGACCTTCAATTTAAAATGATTCTCTTCTATCAAAAAATAAGGTTCAGTAAAAAATATTCAACAATTTCCATCACTTTCTAAGTAATTCTGATTGTCCCATTTTTAATCTAACTTAAAATCTAAAATTAATTTTGCTTCCAGTAAATATACCATAAGCCAAAATCACATAACTCTATTAATAGCAAATAACATTGAAGGGACATTTAAACATTTTGAAGCTAAACAGGAATATTTTTAAGTACATGAATGCAATGGTGATCAAATAAGGGAGAAGGAGAGGGAAACAGGGAACAAAAAGACAATAATTTCCTAGTTCCAGAGAAGATATGCTCATTTTAAATCTATGCTGATTTTGTTTTTGTTTTTTAAAAATGTTTAATGCACATTGGGTTGCATGGGGGGGGGGCATGCACATCTTTCACAATAATACAGTATTAAAAGAGAAAATTCTTGTTTAAAGAAGAAAATCTGGTTTAAAGGTTTAAGACTAATTGCTTAGCTCTCATCAGACACAAGGGAAACATTTAACCTCAGTGTGTTGCACCCATGGATAATATGCTGGTGTTTCACATCACAAATAACACCTTCAGGCTAAGTAAAATAAAGAAGCAAAATCCTTTACAAATAAAAGACAGTCAAGAAAATTGGAGAAAATAACCATCATTGTATTCAACTTTCCAGCAGGGGGAAAAAAAAAAAAACTAATGACAGTCCGCTAGATGTACAAGTAATTAAAGACAGTGACAGATTGCATTGTAGAAATGTTTGTGGCTTTAGTGTGGTAAGAAAAGCCATTACAAACACTTCTATAAAACACCTGAGAGGAGATAAATGGTTTGAAGGAGATCTGGATAATAATGTAAAAAAGCTTCTATACAATGCTAGCCTACATGAATGGCTGAAATGAGCCTATACCCAAGCAAAGAAGCAGCATTTCAGGGGTACATTCCATCAACATGCAACCAGATCCATAGTTCAGAAGGAGATTGCTAATTAAAAGCTGGTGAGCTTTAAATAATTCATCTCCTTAACTCATATTGATTTGATAGTTTAGTGGTAAGGATCTTGAAACAATATTAAACTGTTTCCTCCAGGCCTGGGTGGTAGGTGACTTTTTTTCCTGCTGCCCATGTGTAAATTTACAGTTGAAAGAAGCTGATAAAAGAGGAAGAAACACAACAGAGAGAACATACTTCGACAGGTGCAAATGAGGAAAAACTATCAATTACCATATCTCAAATTTCCCGAAGACCACTAGGAGATAGTATGCATTTACTGCTAAATACATACCACAAGACTATTTCCTGCACTGCTATCTTCTAGTAGATAGGACATCATGTTCCAAACTGCATTTGCTAGAGATATCTTTATAATTTTTTTCCCATATAACTGAAAATTCTCAAAAGTCTCTAACATCTCTCAGAAATATCAGCAGAAGAATAAAGAGCTTGCTTACAACTGAGTGCAAAAGCAAGCATGAATGTGCTCAAACCTATCCCTTGAACAAAAATATACATTAGAAAAATAAGGGACCACATAAGGGGTAATCTGGCATGACATCAGGATCTCCATAACATAATGTCTAAACAGGGGAGAAAAAGAAACTAAATGCTCTTCTGAGATGTTAGTATTAAAATCTCAAATGCAGCCCAGACTCAAATATTTAGAGACTTATGAAGAAGTGATGGTTGGTACAAAAATGAAGGGCACTAAGTAGGGCATGTGTGATTGCTAGCTGTGCTTAAAATTACGATTCTAAAAAAAACCCCTTCCCATTCGTACAACAACTCTATCCTTCTGGATTTAGCTTCTTGCCTCTTCTTTGATTACCCACATCAAAGATGGGATCCAAAATAGGAGACCCACACAGGAAACTGGATTTCATTAGCTGACAGCCATATTTCTTGGGAATTACATCAGAGCAAACACATGGTAGTCTTCCAATCGTAATACACAAAGAGAGACTGAGCAGGAATATAGGAGGGGGAAAAAAGGACTTATTCTTACCTATCCCACTGTGAGGCCTTCCTATGTGCTGTAGATTCAGTCCTTTGTTCATATCTAACAGCCCATTCTTTGGCCAGCTCCCCATGGCAAAGCTGTATGCCTGGAAAAGAATGAAGATGCTTTAACACGATAGTACAGCAAGACATTGACTCAATACCATCAAAATACTTCAGCATTATGAAGTCCAAATATTTGGGTCACCTTTTTTCAGAAGATTACATCTCTATTTTCAGTATTTTATTTTGAGTAGTCTCATTCTGATATTATTCTTCTATTAAATACAAATTCACATTCTCAATATTCTTTTCAGTGACAAAGTTGACTTGATGAGTTGCTAGGTGTTTTTTTTTTCTCAGATTCCACCATGAAAAATGACAGGTTTTGCTCTCTACTACAGCAAATCATGAACATTTATTATTTGCATTAATACGTAAACATTTACATTATATGTGCTGTTTGCCAACATCAATGTTGTCCCAGTATCCTATTTAAAATAGTGTTTCCTACACACAAGAACTTTCCATGCTATACACGTAAATAGAAAAAAACCAGAAGATCACATTGGTAGACAACAGTCCTAAAAAAGAAAGTGTTTATTTAAAAAAATACAATAATCTATGAGGCTGAAACAAATGCCTTTATCCAGACTGAGTTGTCCTCTTAGAATTCTAAAATCTTGATCACACACTTCTGACTTCTTAGTTTTTTCTTTATTCAAGCAAACTCTGGATAGAATTTCCCATGCTTCCAACCTTCTTTTTTTCCTTCAGAAAAAGGAGAATCTTTACTTTATTTACAAATGTGAAATTTTTAACGAACTAAAATACAAGTGTGTTCCTATCTTAAAATTTAAAAGTGAAGTAACTTTTAGCAGCAATCACCTAGCCAGGAAAAAGTAACATTTTGCTGTTTTCTGCTCAGTGGCTAAGACACTAAGCTTGAAAGTGGCAGTTCAGCAGTTCGAATCCCTAGGGCCGCATAACAGGGTGAGCTCCCGTTACTTGTCCCAGCTTCTGCCAACCTAGCAGTTCGAAAGCATGTAAAAATGCAAGTAGAAAAATAGGGACCACCTTTGATGGGAAGGTAACAGCGTTCCGTGCGCCTTTGGTGTTTAGTCATGCTGGCCACATGACCATGGAAACGTCTTCGGACAGTGCTGGCTCTTCGGCTTTGAAACGGAGATGAGCACCGCCCCCTAGAGTCTGGAACACTAGCACATATGTACAAGGGGAACTTTACCTTTACCTTATAAGTAGCAATACGTTTTTGGCTCCTGTAGCCATTATTTTCAGACCAATGTCTGACCCTGGTTCCCAAAGATAAACCCACATACCAAACAATATGAATGTTATGCTTCTAATAATTTCATCCCTCTGCACGCTTACTCAGAGATTTCCCCCCCCCCCACAAGCCTCATATTATGCCTTTTTATTCAGAAGAAAGCACAGATTGCTTGCAAATTCCACCTCAGTGTTTATGTACTCAGAAGCAAGGTAATCAGCTTTAAGATCCTGACTGCATGGAGGAGTGATCCATTAAAAATTAATCTTTCAGACCCATATTTTTCTGATTCAGCAATTTAGAAATACAAGCTCTATTGTACAAACAGTAAACTAAGGCAAACAATTTCAAGATCTTGAATATAAAATGGGAAAGAGTATAGGTGGCAGCATCTATTCATATGGATCCACATGCAAATTCAGAAAAATGAATTTGTAGAGAAATACATTTACACACACACATAATTCATATCTCTCTCTCTCTCCTTTTTTTTCCTCTCTTTTTTTCTCCAGTCTGATATTTCTTATTAAGAAATTATTTAATTTAAAAAGTACCTCCTGGGAAGGAAGTTCACTCTCCATATCTGCTGACACTGTTCATTTAAAATAAGAGGACAACCATATAGCAATGTTTTTGCTAAGGCTGTAGATTTATTTCATCAATTTAAAAATGCTACTAAATTTCTAGTTAGCTCTGTGAACTGATTGCCGTAAAACTACAAGGGGGAGAAGTCTGTGCCAGGGCCCTACTTCATCACCTATCCCAAAAAGCTGCTCTCAGCTTTCACACTCAGTGTGTAATTCGTAAAATAAGGTCAGAAGCCTCTCTAAATAAATGGGCAGTAGTGCTGTGCTGCTACCACTAATAAGAACAATCACTTTAAATGGCCAGTTGGGGGTCTAGGAGGGACAAAACAACACTTCACTATACCTGATCTTGCCAAAAGGACTTGCTACCACACACAAACACACTTATCCATTGTGCTATTTCCTTTTGGGAAACCAACATTATGCAAGGAAAGAAAAAAGTAAAAAAAATAATAGAGGGAGGGAGGAAGGGAAAAATCCAACGTTTCTAACATCACCACAAATTTATACATTTATCATTAAATACCCATGGAGACATCATTTATACTTGTCTCAGTTCCATTTATTGTTTTGACCATTTATTTATTTGTTTGTTGATTGATTGATTGGTTTGTTTGTTTGTTTGTTTGTTTGTTTGTTTCTAAAGGTAGCGAGCATACCTAATACTTCTTCCTCCTATTCCACAACAACAACCCTGTGAGGTGAGTTGGGCTGAGACAGAATGAATGGCCAACTGTCACACAGGAAGCTTTCATGCCAAAGGCGTGACTAGAACTCACAATCTCCCAGTTTCTAGCATGGTGTCTTAATCACGAAACCAAACCTGTTCCTTCGTATGCTTTACTTCCTCTAAATTATTGATACCCCATTCAGCAAGCAACCCCCAACTCTAGATTTATGCAAAATAATAGTTCAATCTTATTCAGTTTATCATATGCTGTTTCAAAAACCAATAAATTATATTCATGGACTTCTTAATGTCCTGATGAAGAATCTAAGCATTTGGTTCAAATTTTTATCATCAGTACTCCCCCACAATTTTGTTGAAATAGAGTTTCCATTATACCTAGCTATCATAGCCACTGTCATCTAGCTAGGGTTTATGGATACTGCAATGCAACATCTTGTGGAAGATACCAGGTGGATAACATTGTGTTATACAAGTAGAAAATAAAACCTTTTTTTTATTTATTTGATTTATATGCCGCCCTTCTCCGGAGACTCAGGGCGGCTTACAATGCGTTAAGCAATAGCCTTCATACTTTTGTATATTTTTATACAAAGTCAGCTTATTGCCCCCACAATCTGGGTCCTCATTTTACCTGCCTTAGAAAGGATGAAAGGCTGAGTCAACCTTGAGCCTGGTGAGATTTGAACTTGCAGTAATTGTAGGCAGCTGATGTTAATAACAGTGCTTTAGTCTGCTGCGCTATCAGGGCTTGGTGAACCTTGGTGAAGACATCAGCAAATTTTGTGCCTAACTAATCTTTCAGAATTCTTTCGCTATCTTAAGAAATATATGGATTGGATATGTCATCTAGCAGTCATCAGAAATTGGAAGCAGAAAGAATGTACTGAGCAGTTAAATTAGTCAAACGTGCAAATAACTCTGCAATTATTTAGGGTGGTAAAATTTAAATATGACTGCAAATATTTCTACCAAGATGACATTCAAAGAGGTAGGCAGCAAACAAAATAGCAAATAATGTAGAGACGGTGCTCTAGTACCTTAAAGACTAACAGTATTTTACTTCAACCATGATAAACTAACAACAACTGTGTATTGCAATAACTGCAAGAAATCCCATTTGCCTGCAAGTAAGAACTGGTGAGTCCCAAAATAGACAAAGCAATAGAAAATGAAGATTGCTCTGGGACTTGAAAAAGAATTGAAGCAGACAAGCATTTGCCACATAACACCCCAGACTTAACAATTGTCTATAAGAAATACAAAAAAACTCTGGATAGTGGAGGTTGCAGTACCTGGAGAGAACAGAATAGAAGACAAAGAACTGGAGAAAAATCACAAAATACAAAGACTTGCAAAAATAGAAGTAGAATGACTGTGACAAAAGAAAGCAAAGATAGTATCCATGGTGAAAGGCACCTCAGGCGCAATCCTAAAAAATCTTGAGTATTATTGGCATTGACAAAATCACCATCAGTCAATTGCAAAAGGCAGATTTATTTGGAACATAACATTTATTTGTGACGATATCTTTACCACCACCAAACAACATCTGCCTAACCCAGGTCCCTGGGAAGGATTTTATAGAGTATAGATGGATAAAAATTCCAAATCCAGTCTAAACATCTGGCTGACTGTGCAACTAACCATAATAATGAAAACATATAGTACTGTTGATTTAAAATGTCTCAACATGCATACAAATATTGTATGCATGTTTAGAAAAAAGGTCTTAATAACAACTTATTAGAATTACTAATATTATGGGGGGAAAGATGGAGATGTTTGTTTTCTGATATTAGAAATTAGGGTGTCCTCCCCCCATTAAACTGATCTACAGCAAAAAGAAAGAATAACGTATGGCATTTGGTGACCCAGGATATAAGGGAGAGCACCGTTAGACAGCTGTTTTAAAATACAAGTTTATCTAACCAAAGACAACATACCTAGGAAGATCAGATGCCAGAGGCACATGATGGGTTGTTCCAGAGGTTTGAGGCCCTCTTGCTAGCCACTGCTGGAATTTGCCTGACCTGGCAATTTTTTGCTCATGCATGATTTTCTCAACTAAATGACAGAGAAACTAAATGACTGTGAATAAAAGTTGTTGATCTGCAAATCCTAGTGCCCAATTTATGAACCCAGCTATCCTTACCCCAAAACCAGATGTTTAAATTTCTCTATTTAAACAAGAATAAATTCAGAATTGCGTGATCCATTTTAAAGAACTTGAGGGCCATCAGCTCTGAGACATTAGAGCCGTGATGGCGAACCTATGGTACGTGGGAGCCATATCGGTGGGCATGCAAGCATTGCCCTAGCACAGTTCCGGCGTGCATGCACGCACCAGCCAGCTGATTTTCGGGCCTTCCGGGCTCACCAGAAGTCGGGAAACAGGCTGTTTCTGGCCTCCGGAGGGCCTCCAGCAGGGTGGGGAAGCCCATTTTTCGCCCTCCCCAGGTTCCAAGAAAGCCTCTGAAGCCTGGGGGAGTGTGAAGGGTCGCGCGCAGGGGGCCAGGGCGCATTGAATTACGGATGTAGGCA